GGGGTGGTGTGTGGTGTGTGGGTTGGTTTCAGTGTTTCTTTCAGACTTTTTCCTCCCCGGAGAGGGGTGGGGGGTACTTGAAATTTTCGGGGGCGGGGGTAGAATTTTCTGGGAGGGGGCGGACACTGGAAAAAGTATATAATTATATTTCGTTGAATGGGACGGTAGACATGTTTTTTTGGGGGGTGGGGGGTGGTGGAGGGGTGGGGGGGGTGGTGTGTGTGGGGGGTGGGGGTGGGGGGGTGGTGTGTGTGGGGTGGGGGTGGTGTGTGGGAGGGGTGGGGGTGGTGTGTGGGGGGTGGGTTGGTTTCAGTGTTTCTTTCAGACTTTTTCCTCCCCGGAGAGGGGTGGGGGTACTTGAAATTTTCGGGGGCGGGGGGTAGAATTTTCTGGGAGGGGGCGGACACTGGAAAAAGTATATAATTATATTTCGTTGAATGGGACGGTAGACATGTTTTTTTTTTGGGGGGGGGGGTGGGGGGGTGGGGGGGGGGGCGGTGTGTGGAGGGGGTGGTGTGTGGGGGTGAGGGGTGGGGGTGGGGGTGGTGTGTGGTGGGGGGTGGGGGTGGTGTGTGGGGTTGAGGGGTTGGGTTGGGGGTGGTGTGTGGTGGGGGGTGGGGGTGGGGGTGGTGTGTGGGGGTGGGGGGGGTGGGGTGGGGGTGGTGTGTGGGGGGGGGGGTGGGTTGGTTTTAGTTTAGAGAAAAGAGACAGCACTATCAGCCTAGCGCCCGTTGTACCCTTCCTCAACGGGCCATTTTTCTCGTCTATAATATAAGCGGGCAAGTAGTGTGTCAGTCCTTCCTTCCGTCATCGCTATAGATTTTGGAACCATAAAAGTAAACATTCGCACCACGCAGTGCTTTTCAGTGCACCTCAGTGTCTTATTTATAAGTATTAGAGTTGGGTTCGTTTATATAGTGGCATAGAGCTATTTTATAATTTCCACTGTTTGTACTATTTTGCATAACGTAAAGAGAATATTAAATACACGCACATTGCTAAAACATATTAAAAGGATCAATGTCAAATATAGTTTTCGTTAATATTCCTAGAAAAAGTGGATACATTTTAATAACATAATAACAGTACGGTAGAAAAATCAAATTAATTTAACTCTTTTTTTTCTAATTTTGACAAAGGAGGTAATTTAAAAATACATTAAACTCACGCTAATAAAAAATGTGAATGCAAATATACGTTCGTCATAGAAGGAATTAGTGTTGCAATAATAAAATTAGCAAAATGTGAATGCAAATTATTCGGATGTGTAAAAGGAAATTATTGTTAGAAAATTATAATTAGCATGGATTGATAAAAGGCAATCTTTTATTTATTTTTTTCACTGAATGTAGGCCTTACTGTTTATTACTTATAATTTTTAATCAACTATTCAGCACTATTATAGACGCGTCATCACGTTCATTAGGTGCGCAATGGTTTTAGTTATGAAACTCTTTTGTAAATTTTTAAAATTTAAAGTAGGCCTACTGGAAAAAAATGCGTGAATGGATAAAGTGAAATAGTGTAGGTAAAACACGGTATTTTAAATACTGCCTATTATTTATACTGTTTACTAATTATTATTCTATCTTTCGTGTTTTATAGGAGAGGCGTAGCGAGGGGGGGGGGGGCAATATGTCCCCGGGTGCCGACCTTAAGGGGCGCCAAAGTGGGTTGGAAAAAATTTGCGAGGGGGGGGGGGGTGGAAATCGAAAGTTTTAGGGCGGGTGGGTGGAAGGGGTGCAAATCGAAAGTTTGAGGGGGTTGCAAATCACCGGAAAGGGCGCGATTTGGCGCTACGGGCTAGACTGTGAGCAATTTGCCTTTATGATTGCATTTAAATTGTGTTTATGTTATGAGTGTTGTGTTTGTTTTTTCGTTGTTTTTTTTGCGTTCGTTTGTGTTGTATTTAGTTTTGTTCTTTTCCCAAGTTGGTACATTTAAAAAAGATTTACCGTGGCGGAGCACGGGATGCAGCTAGTATATATATATATATATATATATATATAGTTACATCTAAATGCGTCTTCACTCCATTAAGTATATTTAATTGATCAATATTTACATTAGAGAACATCATATGGTGCATAATGCAATAGATTTGGTAAAATAGCTAGCCTAAATTCGCTTCAATTTTCTAAATAGGCCTATTTAAAAATGTAAACAAAATATTTAAAAATATCAACAAAATATTTAAAATAGAAACAAAATATTTAAATATATAAACATCTATTCAACATTTGATTATTTTGATGTTAGATTTTGATGGTAGATCCCAAACTAAATATCCGCTTTCTGTGATAAAGTGCTCTTGCTCCAGATGTCTTGAGAGGGCTTTTATCTTCCTGCTGTTTTCTCTGTGTTAAAGACGACATGAGAGTAAACAACATATTTTTATCTTCCTACCGACTAGCTGTGTCCAAGACGACAAATAAGTATAACAATTTGACACAATGATTTGCGTTTCTGTAGCACCACTTACTGTTTTATATTAAACACAATAATGCATTCGCTAGATCGTAAAATTTTTCATAACACTAAAATACATTGAACGCTGCTCAATAATTGTATCGTATCGTCTATTCTAGACTTTGACCTATTGTAAATACAGGCTTACCTTCACCAAGTCTCTGTAAACCCTACCCAGATTCTTAAAGTTAAACATACTTCCTAAAGTATATTAATGACCTACTGACCTCAAGATGACGTCATCTCGGCGATCTTGTCATAGATGGTCTGCAAGACGTCAAATGTGTCCACATAGTACACGTCATCAGGGGCGGATGCAATGACCTTCAGCTCCTCCTGGTTAGCGCTGCCCACCCCTATAGCGATCACACGCACTCCGGAGTTCCTCAAGGTCACGGCCGCTGTCGACGTCTCAGCCGGCACGTTCGACTGACCGTCTGTGATGACGATGACGATCTTTTTGGTGTTTCTGGCGCCAATGGTCAAGGCTTGTCCGGCTTCTCGGAGAGCAACGGCCGTGTTAGTGCCACCGGACAGATAGGGCGCCGCGAGAACAGTCTGGAATAATCGGCAATATTTTCTTACACCTGTTCATGTATTGGTCTTTAAAGTCTGGATAACAAGAGTTATATATTGCTTACGCCATGAGATCGTTACACATCGTTGATAAGAAACCTTTCGACATTATTAAAAATGTGACGTATGCTGTTATTTAAATAGTAGAGTACTATTATATACGAGAAAAATGGCCCGTTGAGGAAGGATAAAACGGGCGCTAGGTTGATAGTGCTGTCTATTTTCTCTAAACTAAAACCAAAACAAAAATCACCACCTTAATTCAATTTAACCGGAAACAAAAAATGACATTGAAAACGGATTTTTATCCAGAAACGGTACTTTAATTTATACAAAATATAGTCATAGGAATATCCCTGAACCATGAACCTAATCTCATTCATGACAAAAGTCGCATTTAGAGTTTCTTTAATGCAACTCTACTTGATAGGAGGGGGATCCGCCCCCCCCCCCCCCCCCCCACACACACACCCCAAAACATGTCTACCGTCCCAATTTTCCCCCTCCGGGGAGGAAAAAGTCTGAAAGAAACACTGGTGTCGCGCTTAGCCACTACCCGAAGAATTGCACGAAAGAAACTGCAAGCAAACCACTTTTTAGATTAGACACATTAATTAGGCGGTAATTTTTATTATAGAGTATCGATGAAGAAATTTCTTTTGAGTTGGGGTGGGGGGGGGGGGACGGCTTAGACGTTCTTTCTGGAGGATGGGGCTTCGCCCCTACCCGAAGAATTGTATGAATGAAACTCTTCACGCAAACCACTTTTAAGATTAGACAAAATTGCCTTTATATTCAATGTTTACTCGAGAATCAATGACGTCATATTACTGTGTGCACTCTCCCGGCTGTCGACTTTTTTCTACTATATGCTGAATATTATGACGTCATATTTCGCTTCCGCTTTACTGTGAAAGTTTTTAATTTGCTTGTGTTTTCTCTAGAGCGTTCTTGTCAGATAGATACATAGATAGATAGATAGATAGATAGATACACAGACAGCGAAAGTATTAGTATTAATTTAAACAAAATCACGTATTTTCTCCTTTTTAGTGCATTATTATATAAAGCTTGTTATTAAATAATTTTATGCATTAAAAAAAGATTTCTATTATTGTTTTATAATTCAGAGTTAAATTTTATGTGCTGAGAATGATACAAAAGTAATCTAAGAATATTATTTATTGGGAAATATATAGTTAGCAAAACCTATATATGGGTATCGTCAGATGCGAAACTAAGAGGTATGAACATCTTTAAGTAGCGATACATTACGTTCGAGTTAAGTATCCTTTCTAATCTGACGGTCCATGGGGCAGGTGAAGTAGAGTTTACCTGTTTCAGTTACCTCGGCTCATGAAGGGATAGTGTGATCAGTACTATACACGGCCGCTTTTACTTTCCTTAACGTGAGTCAGTTACTCATCAGAGCTGGGTGGACTTAGAGACATACTACTGACATGAACCCGGGATTCGAACTCGAGACTTTCAGGTTAGCAGTCGTCTCACGTCTGCTCAACCAGCTGACCAAACAATCTCTTACTTTATTTATAAATTAGTGTTGTGATACATTACGTCAGTGTTGTGATAGATTATATCAGTGATGTGATACATGACGTGAGATTGTAATTCTGCTATTGTATCTAGCTGCAGCAGCCCGCACACAACTGAGGCTGTACCTACCTGTTTGATGATGGCGTGTGTCTAGCTACAGCACACAACTGAGGCTGTACCTACCTGTTTAATGCTGGCGTGTGTCTGTGTATCCAGAGTAAACAACATCTGTGTCGAGTCTGAGAACAGCATGGCACTGAAGAGAACAGCCGTGAGCCCAATGTTGAAATATTCCGTCAGCACCACAATAAAGTTCAGCACTTTCGCGTAATTGACGTCGCCGATACTTCCAGAAGAATCGATGACGAAAAGAATATCAGCAACCGGAGCGTACTTGGGAGCTGAAACAGATGGACAAAATATGTTTCAGTCAGTGGCGGCAAAATATGTTTCAGTCAGTGGCGCCAAAATGTGTTTCAGTCAGTGGCGCCAAAATATGTTTCAGTCAGTGGCGCCAAAATGTGTTTCAGTCAGTGGCGCCAAAATGTGTTTCAGTCAGTGGCGCCAAAATATGTTTCAGTCAGTGGCGCCAAAATATGTTTCAGTCAGTGGCGCCAAAATATGTTTCAGTCAGTGGCGCCAAAATGTGTTTCAGTCAGTGGCGCCAAAATGTGTTTTAGTCAGTGGCGCCAAAATATGTTTCTGACAACCTGACATAAGTTTATGTTATCAAAAACTTTGTAGGATAGGGGGGGGGGAGGAAACTTCAGACTGACAAAATAAAATATCGGATGCACATAGGGAGGAAACGTACCAACACTAGCCGTGATGATTTTAATTTGTCCGATGGCTCCATCAATCAGCTCAAGGTCACTAGAGAAGGTCAAGACGTTGTCAGATTTTGACGTCAGACGGTCAAGGAATGTCCGATTACCGGCACCAACTGAGACGACAACAACCTCAGACACCATCAGCTTGATCTTGTTCGCTTCATCAACAGCCGAGGTTTCGTCCCCACAGTCGCTGGCCACGTTCAGAATCATGGCCAACTTCTTCACCCCTGGGCGGCCACCATAGGATCTTATGTAGTTTTTTCTGGCCATCTTTAATGCCTTTGAGGCTCCTTTGCAGTGGCCTAAGTAGGCTGTGTTGATTAGGGCCTGAAAAACAGTTAGCCTTTTTTTTACATGAGGACAAACAATTTTAAGTTAAAGCTTGAGGGGCGGGGAGGGGGAAGTGACGAATTGCGTAAGACTTTGGACAGGTATATACCTGCTCAAACATCGTCTGCTCCTGAAAGTTACTGGAATCTACGTAACTGTGCTTTACTTTTCCCACAACAATCACCCCCAAACTGACGTCATTTCTGTCATATTCCCTGCAGAGTTTGACGACAAACTCCATCTTTGATCTGAAGGCGGCCTCAGTGCTGGGGGACTGGACGATCAGATGGATGTCCGCTTTCGACTTGAGTTTGGGATCTAGGGAGAAAATATAATAGTTTTAAAACAGTTTGTTTCTCTTTTAAACACGACTGTCTCTAAAACAAGTTTTATCCTAACTCTACCAGGGAGATCAAGAACTAGCGGCTCTAATGTATTTACACGTCAAACAGAAGAAGGTAGCCAATATAACAAATCAGCATCCACTAATTCTATAAATTAAAACAAAAACAAACTTACTGACTGACAAAGTCGTCACAGTAGGCTAAAATAAAAGTAAACAGACAAACATTTATTTAAATAGGAAGAAACAAATCAAATAAAAGCAATTACAAAAGCTAGATTGATCGGCATAAAATGTACAGTTAAAAGAGCTAGATTAGTCGGCATAAAATGTACAGTTAAAAGAGCTAGATTAGTCGGCATAAAATGTACAGTTAAAAGAGCTAGATTAGTCGGCATAAAATGTGCAGGTCTTCTTCTTCTTCTTCGTTCTTAATTATTAGTGTTGGGAGGGTTTGAACTCGAGACTTTTTTCGAATTTATCAACCATGAGCTTCGCCGACTCGACGATGCTTCCATCACAATTAAGGATTACGTGTCAACTGGTTATGCGCCATTGAGGCCATTGACTCCGATTTCAGCCTGCTTTTCTTTATGGATTTGCTTCCATAGCCTTTGTCCAACCAAGAACAAACTACAAGGCAGCAGTTGTTTGATTTTGGAGTTGTCTCTCCTAGAAGAGTGGCTGTCCCCAGCTAACGAGCCTCTTCTGCCCGAGGGTTCGAACTCGAGACTTTTCGGTTTAGCAACCATGAGCTTTACCGACTCGACCACGCCGACCCCCAATGTGCAGTTAAAAGAGCTAGATTAGTCGGCATAAAATTTGCAGTTAAAAGCAAAGCTGCCTCTATTGTTTGTATGGAAGGAATATTTACTTAGTTTGACTTGAACATATGATCTTAATTTAAAACAACCGACTACACCCAATCAAAACATAGCAGACTCGTGCTGTTTCCACCAGAATTGCTGCCCCATCCCCCCACCCCTGCATCGTACCACCATGGCACCACCATGTTTAGATCTGAGCACCGGCCCAGCAATGAGACGATCTACAGTCTCGGGTGCCGGGAAATGATATCGTGAATGTCAGGATAGCTGGTGCAGTCTACGGCCAAACTTCGAGGTTCCTGATCAAAATATGACGCAAGACAGAGCCAATCTCTACAAACCTTTGACGTCAGCTCCACTATCTTTTCAAAGATGGTCTGCAGGACGTCAAACGTGTCCACATAGAAGACGTCACCAGGTGTGGATGCTATGACGTTCAGCTCCTCCACGTTGGCCCTACCCACCCCTATAGCGATCACCCGTACACCTGAGTCTTTCAATGCCTCAGCCGCCTGCTCTGTGTCCTCCCTCCTGTCTGACCCACCGTCTGTGATGACGATGACGATCTTCTGGCAGCTGGGTCTTGTTGAGACGCTGAAGACTCGTGTCCTGACCTCTACAAGAGCTGCAGCTGTGTTGGTACTTCCTGCTAGGTATGGAGCCTCCAGAAGTTTCTAGAAAGTAAATCATAAATGCAGCTTACTTACAGACTAATGCAACTTTAAATTTACCAATTTACTTAATCAAGATGCTGTAATTTTAGCTGCGGTTAGTAGGTGTTTAATTAGTATGAAAACAATTCACATTTTTAATGTGTAATCTTACATTTTTTTCCTGCTATCTACTGGGTATACTTAGTCAATACTTTATATTGACCTTTTAGATATACTAATTGAATTGTGTTCATACGATGTACCAGTAAGTCAATACAAATAAATGTTTAAATAATGAAGCAGCTAATTTTACACATTTCTCCATGAAAACACATCAACCAATGAGATATATGGTAAGCAGATGAAAGAAATTGAACTACGGTTAATCAATCAATCCTAGTTGCATTTGGTATCATATATTGCTAACATATCAGGTTAATCAATCAATCCTAGTTGCATTTGGTATCATATATTGCTAACATATCAGGTTAATCAATCAATCCTAGTTGCATTTGGTATCATATATTGCTAACATATCAGGTTAATCAATCAATCCTAGTTGCATTTGGTATCATATATTGCTAACATATCAGGTTAATCAATCAATCCTAGTTACATTTGGTATCATATATTGCTAACATATCAGGTTAATCAATCAATCCTAGTTGCATTTGGTATCATATATTGCTAACATTTCAGGTTAATCAATCAATCCTAGTTACATTTGGTATCATATATTGCTAACATATCAGGTTAATCAATCAATCCTAGTTACATTTGGTATCATATATTGCTAACATATCAGGTTAATCAATCAATCCTAGTTACATTTGGTATCATATATTGCTAACATATCAGGTTAATCAATCAATCCTAGTTGCATTTGGTATCATATATTGCTAACATATCAGGTTAATCAATCAATCCTAGTTACATTTGGTATCATATATTGCTAACATATCAGGTTAATCAATCAATCCTAGTTGCATTTGGTATCATATATTGCTAACATATCAGGTTAATCAATCTATCCTAGTTACATTTGGTATCATATATTGCTAACATATCAGGTTAATCAATCAATCCTAGTTGCATTTGGTATCATATATTGCTAACATATCAGGTTAATCAATCAATCCTAGCTACATTTGGTATCATATATTGCTAACATATCAGGTTAATCAATCAATCCTAGCTACATTTGGTATCATATATTGCTAACATATCAGGTTAATCAATCAATCCTAGTTGCATTTGGTATCATATATTGCTAACATATCAGGTTAATCAATCAATCCTAGTTGCATTTGGTATCATATATTGCTAACATATCAGGTTAATCAATCAATCCTAGCTACATTTGGTATCATATATTGCTAACATATCAGGTTAATCAATCAATCCTAGCTACATTTGGTATCATATATTGCTAACATATCAGGTTAATCAATCAATCCTAGTTGCATTTGGTATCATATATTGCTAACATATCAGGTTAATCAATCTATCCTAGTTACATTTGGTATCATATATTGCTAACATATCAGGTTAATCAATCAATCCTAGTTACATTTGGTATCATATATTGCTAACATATCAGGTTAATCAATCAATCCTAGTTGCATTTGGTATCATATATTGCTAACATTTCAGGTTAATCAATCAATCCTAGTTACATTTGGTATCATATATTGCTAACATATCAGGTTAATCAATCAATCCTAGTTACATTTGGTATCATATATTGCTAACATATCAGGTTAATCAATCAATCCTAGTTACATTTGGTATCATATATTGCTAACATATCAGGTTAATCAATCAATCCTAGTTGCATTTGGTATCATATATTGCTAACATATCAGGTTAATCAATCAATCCTAGTTACATTTGGTATCATATATTGCTAACATATCAGGTTAATCAATCAATCCTAGTTGCATTTGGTATCATATATTGCTAACATATCAGGTTAATCAATCCATCCTAGTTACATTTGGTATCATATATTGCTAACATATCAGGTTAATCAATCAATCCTAGTTGCATTTGGTATCATATATTGCTAACATATCAGGTTAATCAATCAATCCTAGCTACATTTGGTATCATATATTGCTAACATATCAGGTTAATCAATCAATCCTAGCTACATTTGGTATCATATATTGCTAACATATCAGGTTAATCAATCAATCCTAGTTGCATTTGGTATCATATATTGCTAACATATCAGGTTAATCAATCAATCCTAGTTGCATTTGGTATCATATATTGCTAACATATCAGGTTAATCAATCAATCCTAGCTACATTTGGTATCATATATTGCTAACATATCAGGTTAATCAATCAATCCTAGCTACATTTGGTATCATATATTGCTAACATATCAGGTTAATCAATCAATCCTAGTTGCATTTGGTATCATATATTGCTAACATATCAGGTTAATCAATCTATCCTAGTTACATTTGGTATCATATATTGCTAACATATCAGGTTAATCAATCAATCCTAGTTGCATTTGGTATCATATATTGCTAACATATCAGGTTAATCAATCTATCCTAGTTACATTTGGTATCATATATTGCTAACATATCAGGTTAATCAATCAATCCTAGTTGCATTTGGTATCATATATTGCTAACATATCAGGTTAATCAATCAATCCTAGCTACATTTGGTATCATATATTGCTAACATATCAGGTTAATCAATCAATCCTAGCTACATTTGGTATCATATATTGCTAACATATCAGGTTAATCAATCAATCCTAGTTGCATTTGGTATCATATATTGCTAACATATCAGGTTAATCAATCAATCCTAGTTGCATTTGGTATCATATATTGCTAACATATCAGGTTAATCAATCAATCCTAGCTACATTTGGTATCATATATTGCTAACATATCAGGTTAATCAATCAATCCTAGCTACATTTGGTATCATATATTGCTAACATATCAGGTTAATCAATCAATCCTAGCTACATTTGGTATCATATATTGCTAACATATCAGGTTAATCAATCAATCCTAGCTACATTTGGTATCATATATTGCTAACATATCAGGTTAATCAATCAATCCTAGCTACATTTGGTATCATATATTGCTAACATATCAGGTTAATCAATCAATCCTAGTTACCTTTGGTATCATATATTGCTAACATATCAGGTTAATCAATCAATCCTAGTTGCCAGTGGCGTAGCGAGGTCGGGTGTCACCCGGTGCGGCACTTAATGGTGTCACCCCCCAGAGGCATAGAGACCCTTCCCAGGGACAAACTTTCAAATTTTCGATTTGCACCCCCCCCCCTCAAACTTTCGATTTGCACCCCCCCTCGAGTTTTCGATTTGCACCCCCCCTCAAACTTTCGATTTGCACCCCCCCTCGAGTTTTTCTCTATATATTTTGCTATTTTTTGCCTTGGTGTCACCCCCCTAAATGGTGTCACCCGGTGCGGTCCGCACCCCCCGCCCCCCCTCGCTACGCCCCTGCTAGTTGCATTTGGTATCATATATTGCTAACATATCAGGTTAATCAATCAATCCTAGCTACATTTGGTATCATATATTGCTAACATATCAGGTTAAAATCAATCAATCCTAGCTACATTTGGTATCATATATTGCTAACATATCAGGTTAATCAATCAATCCTAGCTACATTTGGTATCATATATTGCTAACATATCAGGTTAATCAATCAATCCTAGCTACATTTGGTATCATATATTGCTAACATATCAGGTTAATCAATCAATCCTAGCTACATTTGGTATCATATATTGCTAACATATCAGGTTAATCAATCAATCCTAGCTACATTTGGTATCATATATTGCTAACATATCAGGTTAATCAATCAATCCTAGCTACATTTGGTATCATATATTGCTAACATATCAGGTTAATCAATCAATCCTAGCTACATTTGGTATCATATATTGCTAACATATCAGGTTAATCAATCAATCCTAGTTGCATTTGGTATCATATATTGCTAACATATCAGGTTAATCAATCAATCCTAGCTACATTTGGTATCATATATTGCTAACATATCAGGTTAATCAATCAATCCTAGCTACATTTGGTATCATATATTGCTAACATATCAGGTTAATCAATCAATCCTAGCTACATTTGGTATCATATATTGCTAACATATCAGGTTAATCAATCAATCCTAGTTGCATTTGGTATCATATATTGCTAACATATCAGGTTAATCAATCAATCCTAGTTGCATTTGGTATCATATATTGCTAACATATCAGGTTAATCAATCAATCCTAGCTACATTTGGTATCATATATTGCTAACATATCAGGTTAATCAATCAATCCTAGCTACATTTGGTATCATATATTGCTAACATATCAGGTTAATCAATCAATCCTAGCTACATTTGGTATCATATATTGCTAACATATCAGGTTAATCAATCAATCCTAGCTACATTTGGTATCATATATTGCTAACATATCAGGTTAATCAATCAATCCTAGCTACATTTGGTATCATATATTGCTAACATATCAGGTTAATCAATCAATCCTAGTTACCTTTGGTATCATATATTGCTAACATATCAGGTTAATCAATCAATCCTAGTTGCCAGTGGCGTAGCGAGGTCGGGTGTCACCCGGTGCGGCACTTAATGGTGTCACCCCCCAGAGGCATAGAGACCCTTCCCAGGGACAAACTTTCAAATTTTCGATTTGCACCCCCCCCCCCCCTCAAACTTTCGATTTGCACCCCCCCTCGAGTTTTCGATTTGCACCCCCCCTCAAACTTTCGATTTGCACCCCCCCCCCTCGAGTTTTTCTCTATATATTTTGCTATTTTTTGCCTTGGTGTCACCCCCCTAAATGGTGTCACCCGGTGCGGTCCGCACCCCCCGCCCCCCCTCGCTACGCCCCTGCTAGTTGCATTTGGTATCATATATTGCTAACATATCAGGTTAATCAATCAATCCTAGCTACATTTGGTATCATATATTGCTAACATATCAGGTTAAAATCAATCAATCCTAGCTACATTTGGTATCATATATTGCTAACATATCAGGTTAATCAATCAATCCTAGCTACATTTGGTATCATATATTGCTAACATATCAGGTTAATCAATCAATCCTAGCTACATTTGGTATCATATATTGCTAACATATCAGGTTAATCAATCAATCCTAGCTACATTTGGTATCATATATTGCTAACATATCAGGTTAATCAATCAATCCTAGCTACATTTGGTATCATATATTGCTAACATATCAGGTTAATCAATCAATCCTAGCTACATTTGGTATCATATATTGCTAACATATCAGGTTAATCAATCAATCCTAGCTACATTTGGTATCATATATTGCTAACATATCAGGTTAATCAATCAATCCTAGTTGCATTTGGTATCATATATTGCTAACATATCAGGTTAATCAATCAATCCTAGCTACATTTGGTATCATATATTGCTAACATATCAGGTTAATCAATCAATCCTAGCTACATTTGGTATCATATATTGCTAACATATCAGGTTAATCAATCAATCCTAGTTGCATTTGGTATCATATATTGCTAACATATCAGGTTAATCAATCAATCCTAGCTACATTTGGTATCATATATTGCTAACATATCAGGTTAATCAATCAATCCTCGTTGCATTTGGTATCATATATTGCTAACATATCAGGTTAATCAATCAATCCTAGTTGCATTTGGTATCATATATTGCTAACATATCAGGCTGCAGAGGCAGGTGACCTGCTGTAGAATTGTGTTTTACCTGTCTGATTGTGGCGTGTGATGCTACCTGAAGGTTGAACAGCGTTTGCACTGAGCTGCCGAACAGCATGGCAGCGAACTGCACGCTGTCCGCACCGATGTTGAAATACTCAGTCAGCCCCACGATGAAGATCAGCAGCTTGGTAAAGTCGTCATGTCCGATACTTTCCGAGGCATCGATCATCAAACCAATATCAGCGCATATGTTGTGCTTTGGAGCTGTAATTTATTGCATTCATATTTTTATTACTTCGTATACATTCTAAAATTTGTTTCGTAAGCTCTCGGATATTTTGTATTACATTATATAATTTTTACTTTCTCGTATATACGAAGTATAGAGAAAGTATTGTAATCGTGCAAAAAAATCTCTTGAAATTTTAACAATTTTCACCGTATTACACCTCAGTCATTCATCACATCCGAAGTATAGAGGACTTATTTTAATCGGGCAAAAATTATCAATCCAGATTTATCAAAATTAAGAGGTTTTATGCGTAATCCATTCTGAAAAACTGGGCTTTGCAATCCTGTCCGTATGTCTGTGTGTGTGTTAACACGATTACTTGAGTACCGTTACAGATAGGTTGATGAAATTTCATATATAAGTATTTTATCAAAATCGTAGATCCGTATCAACTTTTGAGCGATTTCCGATAACCAGAAGTGGTACTTTTTCTACTTTGAATTTTTCAAAAGCCTATAACTTGAGTACTATTTCAGATTCTATTTTTAAAACTTTAAGTATTTAAAATGGATTAAAAAATCATGTCTATAGGGTCCTAGGACCTTTGACCACAGGTGCTTTGACCATAGGGGTTTTGACCATAGGGGGTTTGACCACAGCGGAGCTTTGACCATAGGGGCTTTGACCATAGGGGTTTTGACCACAGCGGGGCTTTGACCATAGCGGTGCTTTGACCATAGGGGGTTTGATCATAGGGGGTTTGACCATAGGGGGTTTGACCACAGGTGTTTTCTCAGCAGAGGGTCTTTGATCACAGGTGGTCTATCAACTGGTGTTTGATCACAAGCGCTGTGTCCGGCTTTGATCATAGGTTTTTTTGTCCACATAGGGTCTTTGATCTCAGGTGGTTTGTCCAATGCTGTCCATATATGGTAAGGATTTATTTTAAAAGTTGCTAAATTATATTTTAAATTTCGACATGATGTAATAATATGTTAAATCATCATGTATAAATACAAGTCATCTAAACTACTCTATTTAAAAACCATGGAGAATCTTGCACACGATTGGCGATGGTGTAGCACGAACAAATAAAATTTGTGAAGGATGGCATTACAGTCTTCAGTCTCTCCTCCAATGTAGTAACCAAACAATGTGGCGTTTCCTTGAAGGTCTGCAGATGGACTGCACACGGCAAAAGACAACTTTCTTGCAAGGTGTTGCAGGGGCAAGCTTCCCAGCTGAGACTCTATACAAGATGCTGCACGAAAAAGTACAACGTGCTGTCCAGACATATGGTCAAACAGATGTACTGACATATTTGCGTGCTATCGCACATCTGTCATTTAGTTAACCATTTTATGTATTACATCTTTGACTATATTTTTGGCAAGTTTTGTATCATTTTTTTATCCTTTATATATGCTATGTATTTTAAAGTACATCTACATTATTTATTTGTGAAGCTTGTTATATGTCGCATTATTTGTGTTTCATTTATATTTAAAATAAATCTATGAGGCCTAGCACCAGCCTTTATGTGGAGACTAAAATATAGTTCTTGGCTTCTTTTAAATACATGTTAATTTCTATTAACGTACTCTCAGGAAACATGTATAAAATCGTGTTAATTGTATCACATCTATGATCAAAGCCGGACGCAGCGCTTGTGATCAAACACCAGTTGATAGACCACATGTGATCAAAGACCCTCTGCTGAGAAAACACATGTGGTCAAACCCCCTATGGTCAAACCCCTTATGATCAAACCCCCTATGGTCAAAGCACCGCTATGGTCAAAGCCCCGCTGTGGTCAAACCCCCTATGGTCAAAGCCCCCTATGGTCAAAGCTCCGCTGTGGTCAAACCCCCTATGGTCAAACCCCCTATGGTCAAAGCACCTGTGGTCAAAGGTCCGCGCACCGTCTATAGCCCGAGTTCCCATCCCCTGTTGTTTTATATAAGAATATTCGAGAAAGTTTAGGGGAGATCACTCCCGGTTTATTTTAAACATATGAGGCATCTGGCCATCGTTTACAGCGATGTAAAGTGTGATGTAAAGTGTGCTGTAAAACCGTGGGTAATACTAAACCAAATGGTGTGTTTTTTTTAAAGAAACTAAAGCTATTGATCTAATTTGAAAGAGAAGAGTTCAAATTTTCGCCGTACCAATGCGGCACGTCATCTCTTTGATTTGTTGAGTGCCATTATCAATCAGCTCAAGGTCACTAGAGAAGGTCAAGACGTTGTCAGATTTTGACGTCAGACGGTCAAGGAATGTCCGATTACCGGCACCAACTGAGACGACAACAACCACAGACACCATCAGCTTGATCTTGTTCGCTTCATCAACAGCCGAGGTTTCTTCCCCACAGTCGCTGGCCACGTTCAGAATCATGGCCAACTTCTTCACCCCTGGGCGGCCATCATAGGAGCTCATGTAGTTTTCTCTGGCCACTTTCAAGGCTACCGACACTTGCGTGCAGTGGCCCAGATAGACAGTGGTGGTCAGTGCCTGGAAAAAATAGTTTGTCTTTCGTATGTGTGGGCAAGTCTAGAAGTAAGGAGAATGGACGAGGGCTGTGGAGGGGGGAGTGTTGTCTTTTAGGACACTACTTACAATTCTAGACTATTGGGCATGTTATACCTGCTCGAACATCGCCTGAGTCTGGAACTTGCTGGAATCCACACACCTGTGCTCTACTGCTCCCACAATGATCACCATCATGGTGACGTCATTTTTGTCATACTCCCTGGAGAGTCGGATGATACTCTCTATCTGTGTTCTATAGGCGGCCTCAGTGCTGGGGGACTGGACGATCAGATGGATGTCCGCTTTAGCCAGTAGTCGAGGGTCTGTGGGGTCAAGGTCAATAATAGAATGAATGTTGTTGTGGGTCAGGGGTCAAGAATAGAATGAATGTTGTGGGTCAGGGGTCAAGAATAGAATGAATGTTGTTGTGGGTCAGGGGTCAATAATAGAATGAATGTTGTTGTGGGTCAGGGATCAAGAATAGAATGAATGTTGTTGTGGGTCAGGGGTCAATAATAGAATGAATGTTGTTGTGGGTCAGGGGTCAAGAATAGAATGAATGTTGTGGGTCAGGGGTCAAGAATAGAATGAATGTTGTGGGTCAGGGGTCAAGAATAGAATGAATGTTGTTGTGGGTCAGGGGTCAAGAATAGAATGAATGTTGTTGTGGGTCAGGGGTCAATAATAGAATGAATGTTGTTGTGGGTCAGGGGTCAAGAATAGAATGAATGTTGTGGGTCAGGGGTCAAGAATAGAATGAATGTTGTTGTGGGTCAGGGGTCAATAATAGAATGAATGTTGTTGTGGGTCAGGGGTCAAGAATAGAATGAATGTTGTGGGTCAGGGGTCAAGAATAGAATGAATGTTGTGGGTCAGGGGTCAAGAATAGAATGAATGTTGTTGTGGGTCAGGGGTCAAGAATAGAATGAATGTTGTTGTGGGTCAGGGGTCAATAATAGAATGAATGTTGTGGGTCAGAGGTCAAGAATAGAATGAATGTTGTTGTAGGAGTTAGGGGTTTAGAAAAGACTTAATGTTGTTACACATCCTATACTACCGTACAATTTAAAAACCTGTGTAGTTCTATTTTGTTAAGTAATGTTAACATGCATAGAAACAAGCGATATATAAGGCATCAACTTACTGATTGATAGCTTTGACTGAAACATAGAAACGCATGAATATTTAGTCAGTTTAGTAAAATTATTAGAATGAATGGGTTTTTAATTGATTATCTCTTAAAAGGATTCGTATTTTTTTTAAAGGACAGAAAGCAAGATAGTGATTAGTTTTAAAAATAAATATTCTAATATTTGGAAATAATTTTTTGTTTTGAGTTCTACATTAGTATGTGTGTGCTTATTTCTATTGTCAAAAAAAAAAGACTTACTTTTGCGAAGTTCTTTGCTGCGTGTTAGAAAATAAAATAAATCGACAAATTCAATGTTTGTGTTTTAGTGAATTTTATCTACTTAAACTTGTGATATTTTTTATTATATATATATATATATATATATATATATATATATATATATATATATATATATATATATATATATATATATATATATATATATATATATATATATGTATATATATATGTATATATATATACATATATATGTATATATACATACATATATATATATATATATATATATATATATATATATATATATATATATATATATATATATATATATATATATATATATATATATATATATATATATATATATGTATTAGCATTTCGTTTATAATTTGAAATTTAATTTGTTCTTTCTTTTATCAGCATGGGGATCATCATTTACACATATTTTTTGTTGTGAAATGACCGGAAAAGTTTCAATAAAAAGGGTATTCACACTTTGACTATTGACGCCAGTAAACTGCAAGTATCGATAACCAGTGCAGGTTCATCATAGGGTGATGCGTTAGACATCGTGAAAAGGGGGGGGGGGTCTAATCCTACTGACCTGTTGTATGAGATACATCATAATGTCTGTTTTGACATTTGATGTCAGTTTTTCAGGTCACACGTTAAGTGACCTTCTAAAGGTTAGGTAGAGGCATGGGAGAGAATTAAGTTTGTTTGTTTTACTGCGTGCCTGTTTGTCTACACAATGCGCTCAGTGCAACAACACGAGTATTTAGTTCACACAACTCTCAAATCAAATGATGTGAATGTGCTAGCAAGTATTACAATATACCTTACATATTATGCGAATATTACAATATACCTTACCTATTGTGCAAGTATTACACTATACCTTACCTACTGAACGGGCACCCCTACACATTATATTGCAGACACAATCCTAAAATCAAATGAGGACGAAAATTTACAAAGATTTTGTAAATTAAACTGTACAATACAAAAGTATATATATTTAGTGTTAAGTTTGTACATAAATCAATATAGCAATATAAACAAGTTAATAAAAAGTCTAGTGACAATTTAAGCGCAATTTCCTTATGTTATCTAAAAATAGATAGTGATCAAGTTTGTTTTTAAAAAATGTGAAAAAATGATTAGGCCTAGCGAAACAAAACCTTGTAATTGTAACTCCCTATCACTCTCATATAAATTATAAATAAATTAATAGGGTACAAAAATAACGTTTGAATTAATAAGTAAAAAATAAACTTATAGCAAGATCTAAAAGACAGCGAAAAATAGATTATTTTGACACGTCCCTTTCCCCATAGATCTATATCTATATATTGCTATATAGCAAGGGTCGGCAACCTGCGGCTCGCGAGCCGCATGCGGCTCTTTTGATGTCAAGGTGCGGCTCTTCAGCTCCATGCAAAAATACTAATAATTATTTTATTTTATTTTTAAACTCGTGAATATATTAGTCTGCAACTCTCAGTAATGAACGATATAATAATAAATATAAACAATAAACATTCACCATTCTATTAGAGTATTTAGTTACTCCATTTTTCAATGTACTTCCTTGTTTTCTAAAATTGAGTTATTTAATTGTAAACAATGCCTGTGCTTGGATCATATTTATCGGGGCACGGGTTGACCTACACTACAACCCAGCTCTCCATGGGGCGTGCTGTATGAAAGCCTTGAGTGTAAGTTAATCACTCACCGTGATATCACCGTTATTCACTCACCGCTTAAAGTGTCGGGGACGAGAAGTGGCGCTCTTGTGAACCCGATTACACTATCGCGAGGGTGCCATGTACATCCCCTTTTAATCGTCGATTGTCGTGTGCCGCATTATCAATATTGTAGGGTGCTCCTTAAAACTAACGTAGTCGCGTAGTGCTCTCGGGAAAGCCCTGGACGCCAAATTGCACTCTGCAGAGACGCCGGTGGACGCGCATCATTCGATTTAGTAAGCGACTATAGCAACTCATTGTATCGTAAATGAACGTAGGCGCTGTGGCGCTCACGGGTAAGCCCGGGGCGCCAAAATGCTCCCTGCCGGCGCGTCGTAGGGCGCGCCTGATTCGATTAAGTCAATGGTTATTGATGCCCATCGTGTCTTTAGTGTATAGCCTTTTTTTTAAAAAAAAAACGAACGTAGGCGCCATAGTGCTCGCAGGTGAGCCGGGGCTCTTCGGATCGCGCAATCGACGAGGCGCTGGCGGATGAATAAAGTAGTAACCCTTACCCGCTATGCAGGACGCCCAATAAAAGGATTCCAAGTGCTAACATACCCGTTCTGGAACTCTGGGCGCCAAACCGTGTACTGACGAAAATCACACCCTCCCGGGCAATACCCATAAGAATTTATTTTTTTGCATAAAATCTCGGGAGTATTCTTATTTACTCTCCAAAGTTTCATGGCACTCGGATAAACGGTGTCGAACCGCGTCCGACGTATATTTTTTTAATTACCGCACCCTCCCGGGGCGCCGCCCTTGCGAAATTAAAAACGATTTTTTTAAGAAACCTCCACTGGATTGTTTTAATCACTCCACAAAGTTTCTTGGCGATCGGATGAACGGTGTCAATCATCAATCGACTTTTAATTTTATAAACCGAATCGCTCCGTGCCGGGCGCAACCCCTGCGAATTTGACTTTTTTTTTTGTAGATACCTCCGGAGGAGTAATCTCAACAACAGCCTAAAGCAGGGGTCTCCAAACTACGGCCCGAGGGCCGGATGCGGCCCGCGGAGTCCTCTCATCCGGCCCGCGGAGATCTTTTTGTGCAACGGAAAAATCGTTTGTTGATGATGGATGAAAAACTTCGCCCAGAAAAATCAAAGACATGCCTGGAAGAAACTGGCCCCCGAACTGAAATTTGATAGTTAATGCGGCCCTCGGACTGAAAAGTTTGGAGACCCCTGGCCTAAAGTTTCATGGCGATCGGGTTTAAGGTGTAGTAATGAATAAAAGACAATCAGACACACACACGCACACACCTACATGCCTATATATATATATATATATATATATATATATATATATATATATATATATATATATATATATATATATATATATATATATATAGATATAGATATAGATATAGATATAGATATAGATATAGATATAGATATAGATATAGATATAGATATAGATATAGATATAGATATAGATATAGATATAGATATAGATATAGATATAGATATAGATATAGATATAGATATAGATATAGATATAGATATAGATATAGATATAGATATAGATATAGATATAGATATAGATATAGATATAGATATAGATATAGATATAGATATAGATATAGATATATATAGATATAGATATAGATATATATATATATATATATATATATATATATATATATATATATATATATATATATATATAATATTGAAATTTAAATGTTAGTGGCTCTTTAAAAGCTGGGAAATTTTGTAAATTGTAACTTTTGGCTCTTCTGTCTCAAAAGGTTGCCGACCCCTGCTATATAGTATTGTAGTGTGTCATGTTCATAACCCCTAGCTCTGTAGTATCGTAAAGCACACACGGGGACAAAACACAAGACGTATAATGCTGGAGTGCGTTCAAGCTAGGAGAACGATCGGTTTGTAGGTGTTTATGTAATTTTTTTAAAAAATTTGTGACCGAACGAAAGGATATTTTTGAAAACTTTCTTCGGCAATATTGGTCTAAATTATGGCAGGAATCGATTGGTAAAGGTTTCAAGTCGCTAAGTGGTCTGGTTGCCGAGATATGGGCCAAAAACTGCATTTTTTCCGAGTTTTTTTGGCTTTTCCGGGAAATCCAGGAAGGAATTCTGGGAATTTTATTGGCCCACAATTATCCTCGGAACTTGCTTAACATATTTGCTTTTGGAACTAGTCCTTGATATTCCTTCGTTGAGGAGGAGATACGACTTAAAGCTGGGGACACACATCCATCCAGAAATGACGAGTTAATAATCGCAATTCCTGTAAGGAAATTGCGCTAAAAGGTATATATATATAAAACCGAATTGTTGTATATTTTAAGTAACTACATATTATTTATCAGCCTAATGAATTGCATGTGAACAAATAAGTTACATGCATATAGAACTTTTAGTACCTTTTGGTAGACATATTCAGTGGCGTAGCTAGGATTTTCGGACCCATATGCAAAAATTATCAGTAAGCCCGTTTTTCAGCTGTTAGGTTACAACTGAGTTAAAGATGGGTAGCGAAGGAATCAACTGGTACATACGATGGAGGGTTTGAATTATTATCAATATTTTGTACATTCTGGATTATATACGTTCTGATTGTGTATTCATACTATATTATAACGAAGGCCTACTAACCCACAGTTTTGTAACAATGTAACAGGCGTGCAGTTACTTTTTTTTTTTAAAGTAACCAAATACAGTAGCGTCCAAAGGCGTGGTCCAAATGGGGGGGTCTTTAAAGTCGGGAAGAGAAATTCCCATTTAGTTGAGGTTTGTAGCGATGAATGTAAATTTACGGGTGCCGGTGCCAATCTCACAGAAGAGTCAAAGTTCAAGTTTAATTATAGACTAATTTTGTCAATGTCTTGCCCAACCACCCAGAAACGACAACAGTGTTACTATTAAACTAGGACACTGTAAGCCCCCCCCCCCCCCCCCCCCAAATGCTACTGCCGGTGCAGTAAGAAATAACTGGATCCCTTTTTGGAACCTAAAATTATTTCTATAGTACACAAGAAACTGGATTTTTGTTTTCTTTTTAAAATTATTTATATGTAAAACAAAATGGTGGAGTCCCTATGCTCCATAAGGAGCAAAGAGGACTAAAATTAAAAAAAAAAAAACAAACAAATACTATAATTGAAATGTAAAAGCGTCAGTTTATTTAAAGAGGAAAAATGGCCCCCTGAGCCGCCTTGCTTACTTTCGATTTACCCTAACTACGCCTCTGCATATATTCTTTTTTTTTTTTTTGAAGTGACACGCTAATTAGCAGTCCATTAACTCGTCGATTAAAAAAAATGTAAAAATTAAGTCGCCATCATGTGACTATAATTAAACCAATCAGATAACTAACAGATACAAGAGATCACCTTACCATTCTATATGAGTGGCTACTGATACCTAATTATCAGCCTGGAACAAAATAGATTGGCATTTAACAACGATGCTATAGCAACAATATATACTTAATAACAATGTTAATTTAAAATCAATCTGCATTTAATAAAAATGTTCACTTAATAACAATGTGTATTTAGAATCAATCTGCATTTAATAAAAATGTTCACTTAATAACAATGTGTATTTAGAATCAACCTGCATTGAACAACAATGTTCACTTAATAACAATGTGCAATTACCACAAGGCTTATTTAAATGTAAGTAGCAAGAGGAAACTGACTACTTGTCCTAATATAGCATTCTTCATTAGAGATCATTCCTTAATCTAGAACATTCCTCGATCTAGAACATTCCTCACTCTAGAAAATTCTTCAAAATAAAACATTCCTCTTTGTAGTACATTTATCAATATAAACATTTATTATTTTAGAACATTCTTCATTAGCGAGCTTTCCTTATTATAAAACATTATCATTATGGATCTTTTCTGATGAAAAAAAAATTCATTTTAACCCGGGTTTTAGAACATTTATCATTCTAGAACATTCCTTATTTCTTAACATTCATTATGAAATGTTAAGTTTTCGACATGCATGTCCACAAAATTTGAAACTGGGAGAAATAGACTACATTTTTAAAAAGCTTACAACTACTCACAAAATAGACTCATAATACAACGCCGACCTGCTAAGAAGAGCATAAAAACAGCTCACCAGCTCAGCTGCTAAGTGTCGTTCATCAGCGAGTGGTGCTACTTATAGTTATATTCATCCATGCGGATGTAATGATACGTAGTTTAGCGGGCGTTAGTTTCGTTTAGGCCTAAATGACATCTGCGGAAATTCGCGATTCTCAGAATCTTCTCCATGCATTTAAAGTATGACTTAAACTATGACTAATTAGATTCTGCGCATTTATTAAATGATGGCGGTGTAATTATCTAAGCTTGGAAACATTGTGACACGTATTTAAATCTTAACAAAACCAATCGACTTGTTCTTAAATTAACACAAAGCAATGCCATAATTAAACGTAAAAAACCGGAAACTTTAATTTAAACTTCGATCAAAGCAAGCTCTCTAGCAAATAAATGGGAATTCATGCCTCACTACCTATGAGCTGTTGAGACCATAGTTTCTTCCAGGCATCTCTTCGGGGGAGGGGGGGGGGGCTAAGCCCCGCCGAAATTTTTTTACCGCCCCCCCCCCCCCCCCCCCCCGAACGAAATGAAATTTATATAATTTATAATAATAATATATAAAAATATATAAATAAATAAAAAAATATATAAATAATAATTTATATAATTTATATAATTTATATTGAAAATATATACTTTTAACAGTGTCCGCCCCCCCCCCCCCCCGAAGAAAGTCTTCTGAAGATATGGCTCCATGCCTGATAGATCAAGTAACCACAACAACGCAAACCCAATACAATTACATATTTTAAAATTGACTTTAAATTTTAAATGTAACATTTAATAAGGAAATCACGCTGTGATGAGAGCTTTAGACTTAGATACAAGGCAGTGTGTTCATGAATCCCATGCATAGACTCATGTAGGCTAATATACCTCTTTGACCAATATACCCATGTTGACCAATATACTCATTTTGACTAATATACTCATGTTGTCACAGCTCTTATAATTACTACACAGTTGTTGCTATTGTTATAAATATCAAGCGTAAGAGAATATTTTCTGCAGACATTTTAAAAACGTAAAAATATTCACACGCACAATTGTTTAGTCATTTTCCTGCATAATTAGAAGCTATGCATGCATAAGAGGATATGCATGCATAATTAGAGGATATGCCTGCATAATTAGAAGGTATGCCTGCATGCCTAATAGATAAAGTAACCACGGCAACGCAAAACCCCATACACGCCCACATTTTTAAATTGACTTGAATTTTTTAAATTTAACACCTAATAAGGAAACTTCGTTACGATAGTGCATTAAACCCAGAAACAAGGCTGTTAATGACTCCCAACAATATACCCATGTTGTCCAATATGTTGACCAATATGCCCATGTTGACCTATATACTCATGTTGACCAATATGCCCATGTTGACAATATACTCATGTTGACAATATACTAATAGTACCCCACCCTTGATTTTGACGATAAACACTACAATCATACAACACTGCATGGTATAAATCAACAGCGATATTTTCCCAGAAAAACAGACTTTTTTGTTTCATCATATTTTTTTATCGTGGTGTTATCTTTAGCTCCTGACCGATGAACAACGCGTATACACTCCACAAAATTCCCCATTGTTTTTACTTGCGGGAAATTTTAAAAATGTTAGGTGTTCTGCTATGTCATCACTTACGCGGAGAGTCGCAGTCTAAACGTTTGGGAAAAAACGACGTTGATTGAGTAATTACCAGCTCAGTGGGTTTTTTTTTACCCCGCCATTTACAACTGTGACCTACTTTTGATTTTCACAGAAAAAACATTCTCGCAGCGTTTTCTTGAAAACGGCACTGCACCGCTACTTAGTAACAGTAATGTGCGAGTCAACTCGCAACATTGGCACATATTGTTAGACAGACAACATTGACACATATTGTTAGACAGACAACATTGACACATATTGTGAGACAGGCAACATTGACACATATTGTTAGACAGACAACATTGACACATATTGTTAGACAGACAACATTGACACATATTGTGAGACAGGCAACATTGACACCTATTGTGAAACAGGCAACATTGACACATATTGTGAGACAGGCTACATTGACACATATTGTGAGACAGGCGACATTGACACATATTGTGAGACAGGCTACATTGACACATGGTTAGACAGGCAACATTGACACATATTGTGAGACAGGCAACATCGACACATATTGTGAGACAGGCAACATTGACACATATTGTGAGACAGGCGACATTGACACATATTGTGAAACAGGCAACATTGACACATATTGTGAAACAGGCAACATTGACACATATTGTGAGACAGGCGACATTGACACATATTGTGAGACAGGCAACATTGACACATATTGTGAAACAGGCAACATTGACACATATTGTGAGACAGACAACATTGACACATATTGTGAGACAGACAACATTGACACATATTGTGAGACAGGCAACATTGACACATATTGTGAAACAGGCAACATTGACACATATTGTGAGACAGACAACATTGACACATATTGTGAGACAGACAACATTGACACATATTGTGAAACAGGCAACATTGACACATATTGTGAAACAGGCAACATTGACACATATTGTGAGACAGGCGACATTGACACATATTGTGAGACAGGCAACATTGACACATATTGTGAGACAGGCAACATCGACACATATTGTGAGACAGACAACATTGACACATATTGTGAGACAGGCAACATTGACACATATTGTGAGACAGGCAACATTGACACATATTGTGAGACAGGCTACATTGACACATGGTTAGACAGGCAACAGCGACACATATTGTGAGACAGGCAACATTGACACATATTGTGAGACAGACAACATTGACACATATTGTGAGACAGGCTACATTGACACATGGTTAGACAGGCAACAGCGACACATATTGTGAGACAGGCAACATTGACACATATTGTGAGACAGACAACATTGACACATATTGTGAGACAGGCTACATTGACACATGGTTAGACAGGCAACAGCGACACATATTGTGAGACAGGCAACATTGACACATATTGTGAGACAGGCAACTTTGACACATATTGTGAGACAGGCTACATTGACACATGGTTAGACAGGCAACATTGACACATATTGTGAAACAGACAACATTGACACATATTGTGAGACAGGCAACATTGACACATATTGTGAGACAGGCAACAGCGACACATATTGTGAGACAGGCTACATTGACACATATTGTGAGACAGGCAACTTTGACACATATTGTGAGACAGGCTACATTGACACATGGTTAGACAGGCAACAGCGACACATATTGTGAGACAGGCAACTTTGACACATATTGTGAGACAGGCTACATTGACACATGGTTAGACAGGCAACATTGACACATATTGTGAAACAGACAACATTGACACATATTGTGAGACAGGCAACATTGACACATATTGTGAGACAGGCTACATTGACACATGGTTAGACAGGCAACATTGATACATATTGTGAGACAGGCAACATTGACACATATTGTGAGACAGGCAACAGCGACACATATTGTGAGACAGGCTACATTGACACATATTGTGAGACAGGCAACTTTGACACATATTGTGAGACAGGCTACATTGACACATGGTTAGACAGGCAACATTGACACATATTGTGAGACAGACAACATCGACACATATTGTGAGACAGGCAACATTGACACATATTGTGAGACAGGCAACATTGACACATATTGTGAGACAGACAACATTGACACATATTGTGAGACAGGCAACATTGACACATATTGTGAAACAGGCAACATTGATACATATTGTGAGACAGGCAACATTGACACATATTGTGAGACAGGCAACATTGACACATATTGTGAGACAGGCTACATTGACACATGGTTAGACAGGCAACATTGACACATATTGTGAGACAGGCTACATTGACACATGGTTAGACAGGCAACATTGACACATATTGTGAAACAGGCTACATTGACACATGGTTAGACAGGCAACATTGACACATATTGTGAGACAGGCAACATTGACACATATTGTGAGACAGGCAACTTTGACACATATTGTGAGACAGGCTACATTGACACATGGTTAGACAGGCAACATTGACACATATTGTGAGACAGACAACATTGACACATATTGTGAGACAGACAACATTGACACATATTGTGAGACAGACAACATTGACACATATTGTGAAACAGGCAACATTGACACATATTGTGAGACAGGCAACATTGACACATATTGTGAGACAGGCAACATTGACACATATTGTGAAACAGGCAACATTGACACATATTGTGAGACAGGCAACATTGACACATATTGTGAGACAGACAACATTGACACATATTGTAAGACAGGCAACATCGACACATATTGTGAGACAAGCAACATTGATACATATTGTGAAACAGGCAACATTGACACATATTGTGAAACAGGTAACATTGACACATATTGTGAGACAGGCAACATTGACACATATTGTGAGACAGGCAACATTGACACATATTGTGAGACAGGCAACATTGACACATATTGTGAAACAGGCTACATTGACACATGGTTAGACAGGCAACATTGACACATATTGTGAGACAGGCAACATTGACACATATTGTGAGACAGGCAACATTGACACATATTGTGAGACAGGCAACATTGACACATATTGTGAAACAGGCAACATTGACACATATTGTGAGACAGGCAACATTGACACATATTGTAAGACAGGCAACATCGACACATATTGTGAGACAGGCTACATTGACACATGGTTAGACAGGCAACATTGACACATATTGTGAGACAGACAACATCGACACATATTGTGAGACAGGCAACATTGACACATATTGTGAGACAGACAACATTGACACATATTGTGAGACACGTAACATTGACACATATTGTGAGACACGTAACATTGACACATATTGTGAGACAGGCAACATTGACACATATTGTGAGACAGGCAACATTGACACATATTGTGAGACACGTAACAT